CCCCCCCCCCCCCCCGGGGGACCGCGATATTCGATCATGGCACAGCAAAGAAGGGGAGATAACCAAATATTCCGATATAGAACTAGGATCCCTTACTTGAACTAAAACCTTCAGTTTCATCGATTTAACTTCAGACATGAATGTCTTATTGAGATAAAATGTCCCCAAATTTGTTTTAATCTTGTTGTTCGTCGCTTCGTCCATGATGAGTTTGGTGGTTAGAAATCCATCCTCATTAGCCTCGGGTTCGTCTACGATTGCTTCGTGGTACAACAAACTGGAAGGATAAAGAATAGCAGGGCTTGGCTTGTGATTAAATGGTGTTTTGAAAAAAAAGCTATATCACGGGCGTAGAGGGCATTTCACAGCCCCCTCACAGCCCAATTTACATACATTTACTGTATTTTACCTCTATGTCTCTCCGCCCGTGATGTAGCCCTCATCCGTATCCTGAATCTTTCACGATGAAAAACTCATTAAAGCCACTGTTTTAATTCCCAAAACTCAAAGAATATGAAAAGATCATAGAGTACATTCTGTGCGACAGTGAAAAAGTCAAGGTATAGACTAATCAAGTCCTTGTAGTAGTAGTTCGAGACTTATAACTCTCTTATTAATTCACCACCAAATATTATATTACTTCATTTAGGAATTTTAGGAACGACAAAGTTTTTTTCGATTTGCTGAGCTTTGCTGGTTAATTCAACTTGAAAAACGAAAGCTAAYTACAGATAATCCAACGCAATACCAAAGCAATTTACCTTGGATGTGCATCGGGCAGAATGAGGCGACATCATCCGGATATTACTATACCATACGCGCCAAATTCAAACCGTGTAATGAGATGCAAATTAGTGTCTACAAAGGACTTTCCTTGAAAAAGCTCAAAACCCAACTTAATAAAATCCTAAATTGAAAAATCTAAAACATACATCGATTAGGTTTCATCGGGATTTTGTTGTTGAAAAACAAAGCAACAATTCTAGCTTTCAGCAAGAGTATTTCTGTAAATTTTTCCCATGTAAAATGTTTTTTAAAAGACTTGATAGGAAACATGGTTGTTCATATTCAGGTATTAAATTCTCTTTGAATTTCGAAAATATCAATTAGGTTTCATCGGGAAATCTTTGTTTGGTTATTACACTTCTTTTCATACATACATTTTAGTATCATTTTATAAATACATCCCTGGTAAAAATATATTTTTTTATAACCCGTGTAGAAAACCTTCACTTTTGCATATTTAGCGCCTATACGGCTTCATAGTAGAAAGCGTGTGAACTGGTGCTATCCGACCGTCCTTTTGAAG